AAAAATCGGGTTGAAAAATACATTAGAACTTTGGGTATTCCGAACGTTACATTTATCTACGTTGGTTTCTATGCCTCAAATCTTGGTCCAATTTATCCTATTGTTACAAAAGATGATGGAACATCTGAATTGATTGTTCCATTGGTCACCGAAGACACTACTCTTGAGGTTATTGACGCTCAAACCGACACTGGCGTAAGTGATCAAATTACCATTTATGTTAACAGGCTTTGCAAAAATAATAATTTATATGAATGTTCTCAGCCTATTGTAGCCAAAGTTATTGAAGAAGGACCAGAAAAATGGAATGGAAAGAAAGTTCCTGTTGCTGCAGAACGTATTTCTTTTGGAAAAATGACCGAAATATTGACTAAAGGTAAATCTAATAATTTATTTTTATCTATTTAATATCCTTAAATGCTAAAATTTCTTTTTTTTCGAAATCAAATATCAGCTACTGGAAGAAAATTTAAACTTCGCACTCCAAATCGCGAAGAAACGGAAAAAGAATTTCCCGCCTTGGCTAATGAAGAATTACTCGGAATGGTATGTCATTCGAACTATTTTTTTTTAAATATATATAGATATAATCATAAAAACAGAGTATTAAATTATTATTTTTAGTTTCGTTGGTTTAATAAATACGGAGTTTTTGGTAATGAAATTAGCGACATTTCCATCGCTAAAGAATTACATCCAAATATTACTACTTTTGAACAATATGCTTACAAAAATTATAAAAAACAATAGATTTTTTAATTTAAAATAAGACATACATTAAATGTACATATATTAGTTATCAAAAACATGTGTATTGAAATTTTAAATCAATAAAATTATATAGCGGCACAACGTTGTAGCGTTAAAACCAGGAACGGAATACTTTATTTAGGATGAATGAATAAGTTTAGTGTTTCGTAAATTTGGGTCATTATAAATCATTTTTGTAACTTAAATTGCTGACTGTTGTTTTGTTGGTTTACCTTATACTGGCTAGGGTGGATTGTCAAAGAACTTTACAAAACCTTAACTACTGGGATTCCGGAAATCGGCGAGTCTAAACTAATACAACTCTCGTGTAACCTACGGCGGCTAAGTCGAAATAGGCGTGTTAGATTTGGCTGGTGGTTTATCCGTAGGTAAGCACTTGTATCTCCTCTTCTAATTCCTTTCTTCAATCTCTTCTTTGACTAATCTAGTCTTCTCTTGTCTACTTCAACTGGGATTACTCTACGTCGAATCGGGGTTGGGACTCTTCTATTACGTTATCGGTCTTGTCACGTGACTTGCGGCGAGCGATCAACTTGCGAGTTTAATGGTTTATTTGAATGAACGATAAGGGTAACAACGGGAATTAACGATGGTTTATTACAGTATTAGTTTATTATAGCACTTATGTTTTATTATGGATCGGATATTTATTGGTACTGGAGGTTTCATTTGTATAAGGGACGACTTGTTCTTTCCCTGGGCAGAAATGCCCTTTATTTATAATAAACGTCTTATTTACATTCGTAATCAATTTATGCCATAAATGC